TAGTAGACATTATCGCAATATTAACTTCTCCGCTGCCTTCTCCACTTTTATGCTCCTAGCAGCAAAAAGAATATTATCTAATATTTGTCAGCTCAAAGCGATTTGTAAGTACCAGAAATCAATAAAACTTCTTCATATACAAGAGCCTTATGAGAAAATGTAAAGACCACAGTGAACGAGAAAATACAGAGCGATTATTGGTTCATATAGAACAGAGAAAGACCGATAGAATTTACAAATGAAATGCATAAACAAGCTAGTTTCATTTCTAAAACCGCCTGCTCCTCGATGTCCCAGACTTCTTAGAATCTCGCTCTGGAGATCTAACTCGCTTCGGTTGCTTTGGTCTTCTTTCTGCAAGAGTAGCAGCCAATGTTCTGTGAAGGAACTGCTTGTTTGTGTTGAGACTTTTGGGTCGTAACCTAGAGCGGAAAGTGGTAGACATATAGCAATTTTTTCGAGATTTCTACTTACCAACCTTGTGGCCCAACCAACTCTGCGCGCTCTTTTGCTCTCCGTGCTTCTTTCACAATTACTTCAGCCGCCTGAATTACTGACTTTATTAAACACTTCCTCCACTTTCTGAACAGATCTAACCTTGCGTCTCTCCTCTTCTAATTTTTTATCAACGCTTTCCACAAACTCAACGTCTTCCTTCATTTCCTGCGATGATGATGGCTGCTGAATCTCTGGTTGTACACCAGCATCAATCTTCCTTTTTCGATTCAATAACAAATTCAATTTAGCTTGCTTACTGCTCAAATCGCACATTCTGTAATGAGGATCTTGCTCAAATTCATTCTAATGATTTCTTGGGGGATCAAGCGAGCGCAGCGGAATCAAGCACATAAATGCACATTTTCCAGTTACGAGGCCAATCTACCATTTTATCTGCACGCGGTATTTCACGACAGGCGGCGAGACCAAGTCTTCTCAACTTTAACGCGGTATGAAAGAATTTCGATTTTTCGAATTTCGAGAACTTCACCGAATTTCGTCGCATTGCCATATC